CCATGATGTGTAACTTTACATACAGTACAGTATATGCCTTACAAAGACAAATTTCAGTGATTAAGGGATTCATAACAGCCGCAATAAATAGGAAAGGACCAGAGCTAGTCATCAGTAAGTATTGAATATCATCTGCACTTTTATTTTACTTCATGTTTTGAATATTTTTCATTTTGTTACAAAATTGTTCACTGTTCACAGAGGTTATACCAGGGACTGGAGAATTGTTAATTTAGTGTTGTTAAACACACCTGAAGAAGGCTCCACAGCCGAAACATTGTGTTTTCTTTCTTCTTTTTTTCAGCATGGAATAAACCTATTACTTGTTCCTTTGCAGCCTACGCATGCTGATGCAGCTACCCACCTAACTTGTTAATTTAGTGCCCATTAATGAAAAGGTTGAGGAAATTGAACCAAGTAACCACAGACCGCAAGAGGGTAGTTGGTAGAGATAATATGGCAGTTTTTGTTAGAACCACATTCCCCAGAAAGCTGTCGTAAATGACCTGCCATACACAGACACCTAACCTGGAGGAGGACAATCGGTTGGGTGACATTTAATAACCAAAGTGAAAAGGAAGCAAGGAAATAACTGACTGACCATCTAGCACATCAACTCCTCATGGACATGCATTGTGATCTTAATTTTTTTTAAAGATATCTGAGGCAGATACTTCAGCCATGTTGTGGAAACAGACACCCTGTCTTTTTTTTAGAAAAAAGCTTTAGGAGATCAACGGGTCAAATAGCCTCTATCAATAAAACACTATGTTTTCCAAAGTCTCTCCTCTAATGTTTTAGCTGTTCTATGTTCATGCATTGGTGAAACAGCATCTTGAATGCAACTTTCTAACTGTACTTATTCACTGTAAACATAACATAAACATGGAATACATTCCAACAGGGTGTTTCCATTACTGCAAAATATGCTTACACACTATCTTAAGACAGCTAATCTTAGCATTATGCCATTTTTAATTTATTTTTTACTTTACTGCAGGTGTGTGCCTTACACTTAATGCACATTTTCTTTATTGTAAGTTGTGTAATATAAGAGCATCTGCTAAGCAAATGAGTAATAATAAAATTAGGTCATGCCATTAGGAGCACGTCTGCACCATCAGAGATGACATTTGTGTGATACTACTGTTTTTTATTCCTGCCTGTGTCATTGTATTCTATAAATTACTTCTTGCCCTTGAATCTACTGAGAAACTGACTCTGAGCTTTTAGAAAGAACCCAGGTCTCAGAGCCATGCAGCATAGATTAAATGAAAACCTTGTAGATGCAGATGAGTTTCTGTGTATCCACGATGATTTCCAAATAAACTTGTACTTCTTCTGATGTAATTTCTCCTCACTGAACAAATGTATTTAGCCGAAGAGGAGTTCTGAATAAGAAGATAGCTTGGGGTTATAAGTGCATGGAACTAACTACAGTATATAGCCATGCTGTCAAAGCTTATACACTGGCATGTTTTAAGAAAACTATCAATAAAACTATTGGCTGATATCCTCAGATTGCTTTACCTCTAGCAAGCATACAGTACGAGCTAGTTGGGGCCCAGTGAGCTGGTGTTATTTTAACTATTCTCACATTTTAACTATTTAACACATTCTCATGCCTGTTATGTATGGTCTGATTTGAGGGGTTCCTATTGAAAGTGTTAAATTGTGGTTTATTATGTCAGTATACTGAGATAGTGGAATTTTTAGGGCGCTTCAATATTCCAAAATTGATTGAAATGTGTGATATTGTGAGACATAGGCTAATATTGATGCATTGATGCAGGCTTTATTTAAATAGTTTGCTCACATTCTAATTACAACAAAACAGGCCAACAAACATCAAGGGACAGCATGCTTAATACTTTGGTTAACTTGCCTAGCAGAAGAAATGACAGTCTTGGCCAAAGATCAGCACTATCACAATCCCCCTCACTTATGAGGAATGAACCAGAGAGCTACTGCAAGGCTGAAGCTGGGAAGGGAACTAGAAAAGATGTGAGTTTTAGGCAGAAAGTTTTAGGGAGTATACAGTATATACTTAGGAGAACTGAAATACAATTAGACCTCCTCTTGAAGTTTTGTTAAATACCATCATTAAGAGAATCCTTTATTTAGCCAGATATATCAATTGCAAAAAATAAATAAATTTGCAATGACAGTACCTATTTGTATAGAAGGGCATTAGCACAGTAGTACAGTGCACAACAGCAGCATCCTACACAGGGTTTAAGCCCCCAGTACTCTGATCTGTAGCCAACGCTCTATCTACTGTGCCACACAGCTGCCCCCTATAGTATTGTCATGGAGAAATAATAACAATGATCAGATCAAGTGCCACTCTGAACACTTCCCTGAGTTGGCATGCAAATAACACAACTAGATGCAACTAGAGCTTAAAACCTGCAAACTGATCATATTGGTATGTTGGATCAATAGAAAGGTAGACCTAATCCACAGTCCTTATCATTTGCCCTTGTGTCCAGTCATAGCTTTAAGGAGAAGCTGCCCTCCACTGAACCATCACCAGCAATAATCCATCAAGTGACTTTAATATACTATAGTATGTGGAGAGCATGTACAAATACGTACTGATGTATTTGAATGTTAGAATGGAATTTTTTATAGGAATAGAGACTTATTCTAGATCCATCCAATCCATCCAGGACATTTATGACAGACGGTGCTTGAGGAAAGCTCTAAGCATAATCAAAGACCCCACACACCCCAGCTACAGACTGTTTGACCCTCTACCATCTGGAAAATGGTACTGGCCCAGACTACCAGACTCAGACAGATTTTACCCCCCCACCATCAAGCTATTAAACTCTCAGCCTCTCTCACCTATGATCTGAACCCTCACAGTGCCTTCCCTCTTTATCAAAACTCAAACACACATTGAAATCTACCTCTACCTCACATGTCAAGAAAGCTCACTCCCCATAATTTTCTATCCTTTATTTCATTCAGTTGACATATAATTTTGCACATCTGATGTTGTTTTGCACATTACCTGTTGTTGTTTTGCACATTGCCTGTTGTCTCTGTCTTTCTTTCCTTATACAATTGTATTGTTTTTTTTTGTACTGCTTACCATCTGAGAGCTAGATAAATAGCATTTCATTATACCATATACCTGTATATGAGTATAATGACAATAAACTTCAACTTGAACTAGATGGTGTGACATACCCAAAGAATTGCATTGCCATAACAAGCACTCTTTTAGTAACTGGGTCTCTACCGACACAAATGCAGACATAAGGAACAAAACCAGTACATTTATTTACAACGTGGGGAAAAACAAGCAAAGCACCAAAGACAGAAAAATAAACATACGCTCTGTTTTGAGCTTTTAACTGACGTCTATGAAGTCCTTCACCATCAACAACAAGGCAGCTAAGCAGCTTGCCAGCTTCAAAAACAACACAAATGTCTCTCTCTGAGAACAAAGTTTCTCTCAAAATTCAAAAGTTGGGTTTTACAGTCAGTCGCTTCCTTCTTCATCTGATGGATTTGCAGACAGAAGATCTGCACTCTGTCCCCAGATGGCAGATCAGAAATATCCTGGAAGCCTTTGTTTCCTACTTTTTAATCTGCTGTCCAATTGTCTTTCCCCAGCTGGTCATGTGACTGAGAACAGCGGCCCCTTCCCCACAGCACTCTGGGGAATGTTGTTCAGGCAATGATCTGCATCTTGTCTGAACCTATGCCGCCTTACAGTCTCTACATTAACTGAAAAATGACAGTGATTTAAATATATATACAGTATCACAATAGTACTGTGCAATACTGTATTAAATAAATGGTGATGTTTTGCATTTTTCTCTCATTTCAATGATCACAGTTTCTTGACAAGAAGGATTCTTAGTTTACTTTTGGACACAACACTAGCTTTAAAATTAAAAAGTGCTGGGTTGAAAGGCATTAATACTAAGTTTTCAAGTCAGCACTGAGTAATAAATTATTACCTTATTCTAAACTCACATAACCGGATTACTTTCCTAGTGCCCTCATAAATACAGCATGAATTTCCCTTAGAGTGAAGTAACTGCCTCTGATATTCCCTCTTCCAGGCCTCTTACATTCCTTCCTGCTAGTTTCTTTTTTAGAAACATGGCAAAGTTCAAACAGTTGCCTGCAAATTACAGACCTTATGGGCCAACACTTAGTGGTTTTCATCTGTGTGCAATTTTTAAGGTACAATTTCTGGTTCATTACAGAGTACCAAACTTTGCTTACATTTTTTTTCTTTTGTGATGTTTGCCTTAATTAGTACTGATGTCATAACTGACATTATGTTATCTATCTGCACCTAAACACCCCTCACCATCTAGTTACATCAGATAAGCCTGCAATCTCTATTGTCTTGACTTTTTAAACAAAAAGTGTTGTTCAACCTGGCAAATGAAACGATCGGTTTGTGCTCATTGTGTTCTGTCTCTGCGCATAATTGATTTACCCATGATGCCAGAGAGCAGTAGTGGTTTGGGTGAAAGTTTAACTGATTGCTTTCCGATGTTGCTCAAGATTTGAGCTACTGTGGTGCTGAGCCCGACTTCACCACCTTATTCGTGGCTTTGAAAGCAGCCACTAACCAAAGTGTATGTACTGTACTTTGGATGGAAACCTTTATGTACATTTTTTTTCTTAGCCCTACAATGAATCCCTTCCTTTCTTTGTAAATATGAGTGATGTATGAATCCCTGTTATGTTACTTTTTTTCCCCCTCAGATACACACAGTTGTTTTGAATAATAAAGCCTTCTTTATTATACATGTCTGTAGAACACCCCACTTTTATATGCAAACACGAGGTACCTATCACCATTTAAACGTAGGTCATTAATTAAGGGACTAAAACATGCTTAATGAATATGTTGAACTACAGACATTACATTTAAAACACGAAAATGAAACATTAAACACATTTTATTTGCAATAACCAACATAACATATTTGACATGAGCAATTTAAAAAGCTTTTCTGTGTATTTTTGCAACTTTATTTTTATCAGTATTTATACCTAGTTTGATATGATACACAATTAAAATATCGATATTTTAGAATTGATTTGCCGATAAAATATACTTAAGTAACAAAATTGCAACTGTCCATTTCTATACCCTATACATATAAACGAAATCAAAGTCTTTTGATACAACAGCACAGACGCAATGACATTTGTGAACCATAGATGCCACCAAACATAAATAAAACAGCCCCACACCGAAACCTCATTTAAGTTGTTGCAGGTGATGCACAATTTACAAAATGAAAGATTCGGCTACAAAGCAATCGGTTTGTGCTTATGACTGATACTGTGATACTTACGATATACTCATTAATACCGTAATTTGTAGTGAGTTGAACATTCTAGCCACGCGAGTTATTAACCCGGGATGACAGTCATGCGTGCCACAATCAGCCCAATTCAAGTCTCAGTGCCTTACTGCTCACCCTGTGCAATTGCGTGCCGTTTATCCTTCATGAGCATAATTTGCCAGTTTGAGGTTTTTAGCCGTTCTTGCAAGCCACAGCGTTGAGCATCAGCGAGAACTATGATTGATGCACGGAGTGCACTTCGTGTCTGTGGCAGATCAGCGGCGCTGTGCAGCACCGAACAAAGCCAGATGAGAAGGGGGAGGAGCAGATCGGGACTAAAACAGCCGCGCGGTCCGTCTCACCAGGCATTCACTCTCACTTCGGAAGCGTGTTTCTTCACACACAGGGTACGGGATCAGTCTGTGGCGTCTTCAGGCTCCCTTACATAATAATAGCAATCCATAGTTGGACGGAAGGAGTTCAGAATCCAAGGAAAGGCTCCCTAATATACCGCAGGGGAGCAACTGAGCGTGGCCAGTGAAATACTTTTGCCATGCAATGAACCAGCAGCTTTCGCTGGGTAACGGGAAGCATCCAGTCTCCGCTAAGCGCCGCAGCAAAACAAGGACAAGCGCCGGAGCTTCAGCTGCGCCGACCGGGAAGGTAAGGGATCGTTTATGAAGTGCTGAAGGGCCAGGGGCGTACGGGCTGTGCAGGCAGAGTGAGGTCAGTGTGGTGGAGCAAGGGGTAGGCTAAGGTGAGTTGAGTATTTCTTTCTCTTTCAGAGGCACCCGTGTTTACCTGCAAGCATGTTTTGTGGGCTGAGTGTTATCCTTCCTTGTTGAGCGCGCGTCCTTTTCCTCTCGCGCAGGCGCCGCAGGTCCCCCTTTTAAAAAAACTTCCTGCTTGTCAAACTGTGACCGAGATGCGATCGGAAAGCGGCAGGGACTCGGAAACTAAAGTAGTGCGAAACTAAGTAGAATTGGAACAAGAGTTCTGGAGGTAAAGCTGCATCCTTGCTGCCGCGCAGTTTGTTTTTAAAGCACGCCCTGTAGCTGAACAGCCATAAGTTTGCTGGTAGGCTTGTCATGACAAACCGACATTTTAAATCCCTTTGTGCATCTACTGCTAAATCCTGTCTTGGTGTATTAACTAGATACTCGTCTACGCGCATGAACGGGTTCGTAACAAATCTTGGGGTCGACTGCAGATTATTTAACAAAACGATCTTCTTCCAGGTTCACAGTTTATGGCACCCGTTCCACAGTTCTGTATTTAAAAGTACAAACTGTTAATGACTGAATGAAGTGGTACTGTTACATGTAAATGTAATTTTCTGTAATTTTCCCTCACGGGATCAATAAAGTATCTGTCTAAATTTCTTATAAACTTATGTGTCCTAACTAGGATGTTGGATTTGTTAATGAATTACAGTGCAGTGCTTTTAAAATAGTTTAAACCTCGCATTACGTCTAGGGTGGAGGGTGCGAAGAGAATTGTAAAATTACAATATGCGACGTATAATTTTGTTTTAGACCAGTATACTCAGAGGTTTATTTAAATTGGCCATGTACAATTATGTGCAACTGTCTGGATGTGTGTTATATGATGTCGTGTGAATATTTTAAACTATTAAGTTGACGAAACCTTAAAATAACATTAAGAGAGCAACATCGGTGGTTGTTACTATGTCAAAGTGTTAACCCCGATCTGATGTTTAAAAAATAGGGATTTCATAAGCAGAGGTATTATAGTGTTGTAACCAACCGCGTTAAATCTGAGTTTGTTGAAATGCTCAAGTTTGCCACTTTCATGCACCTACTGTAATTGTAATGTCTTTTTACTGTCGCCAAACGTCCGATCAAGTACTGAAATGGGAGCAGTTACTATTTTCGGTGTTTTTGTTGTATGCTGATCAGTCTCTTGAAATATCTCACGTTTCAAAAGGCCACGAGATTAGCTTTTTAAAACTCTGTACCTTGGTTTTGTAACTGCTAATAAGTATTGTTTCGTACATCAGTTACATTTTAGCTTATGACAGTCTCGTTGAAAGTCCGGATTAAATGTATTCGCAGTATGGCTCAAATATAAAACATTAACGTTTGTCCTTCCTAAAATATCGGCATTTAATTTCTTTGTCAAATACTTTCTAATTGTAAAAGTAGTCTTTCGTATTTAACAATTTACATATAAAATGTTATGGTTTATCGCGAATGTGGAATGACTGCGAAGACAGATCTTTTCTACTTTTACGTTGCTGAGTTCAGATCAGCAATGTCTGCTTTGTTTGAAGTCTTATCTCCTTCACTTCGTAAATTGTTTTAACTGCACCGTATTTGCGTTTCTGCATCACTTGTGATCCGGCCAAAGGTTTTCTGAAGAAAGCGCTCTATTGATCGGTGCGTAGGCTTCACTGTTTTAATAGCACGTAAAACTTATTAGAAGAGGCGACAGTCATTTTACTCCATATTGACATGTAGGCTAGTAGGAATGTAAAATGTTGACTAAATAATTTTGCTGCATGGAAGCAAACACGTCAGTCTGTTTTCGGTAGATATATGTGTAATCAGCATTCGATTAATTGCTTCTTATGGCCGTCAGAGTAGGTCCCGAATATCAGCCAACCCATGCCTTTGTAAAGACTTAAGTCTCCCGCAAGAAACGATTAAAAGGACTTAAGAGAGACTACAGAACCTGTATTAGTGCATATTTTTATCATTCAGTACCCAACTATATTGGGCTGTCTGCTCTTGTATTCTAAAGCAAATTTCCCGTGCGTTAATAGTACTTAATTTGCAGAGAATTGTAAATATTACTGGTTTATAACTAAACTAGTGCTGAGCTTTTCATTGTATATTAAGTAATTAAAATTGAGCGTTTCGATCGGGATTCTGTAAAAAGTTCACTAACTAACGCTTACACAAATTTACCTATAGCTAATAAAAAAAATAAACCACCATGACATTTATTAAGACTGTTACTAGTTATTTTGGGACTGCTGCCGTACACAAGATTATGTACATTATTTCATTTCATTTGCGGACTAGCTCAGTGTAAAAGGCATCGAAGCAGGCTAAGCATAATGAAGCGCATAAAAAAGTTTGCAAACGAGAGCAAGACATTCGGCTCATCTAGCTCATTGAAATGCCAGAATAAAATAAAATATACTATTTTCAAAGATCTGTTGCAACACAGATTGTTTATGACTTAACAGTTTCGACTTGGAAGATCTATGCAGCTCTAAAAGGAAAATTATTTGTGACTTTGGCAATTTAAGTTACCAGGGACGATTAAAAAAAAACATTGTTGTGAAAAAAACGCTAGAATAATTGATGTTTAAAATCTTAAAATGCATTGTATGATTTCAGTACAGTAGTTAAGAGTAATGGAAGAAAGCTTTTTTTTGTATGAAACCCTGTAATTAGAGGTTGCCAAATGATTGCATGTTTATTTCCTTCTGAAGAATGGCAATTTAGAAAACAAATTAAACTGGAACCCTCCTGGGCAAAAAGTGGGGTATAAATCAGTTATGTTGAGGTGGTACATCAAAATCCTAATACTTTGGTCATAATAGAGCCACTTGCTGACAGATGGCAAGCTAGAGTTGCCCCCTTATGTTTGAAATCCTGTCAGAATAACCCATTTACTTACAGTGATGTATCAGATTAAGTGAATATGAGAACTGAACATGTTACAGTCTTAATATGTGCTGTTTTTGCACTGTAGGGTGTTTGTAAAATGGACCGAGATCACAGTGAAGTAAAAAGAAAGGCTTCTAGTTCGGGGAAATTGCAGTTAAGGGTTTGACTTTCAAAAAGCTTGCATAGTAGCTAAAAAAACTTTGTATTGTAACATTTGGGCCTGTTCTTAAATCAATTAAAGTGAGTAAATCCACTATCAAAATAAGGTCTTCTGTTCTTGTATTATGAAATTGTATAATGTATGCATTATATTTACACACCTTTGCAATATAATTCAGGGTTTCCTCTGCCTAACGCCATGTTGAAAATACATTTTTAATTAAAATATTTAGTTGGGCTTGATTAGGGTTAAATCAAGCCAGATAAAAAGTTAGCCTTTTTAAAAGTAGGGTTGTGAAAATATAATTTGTACTTGGCGTTAATCCTCATAAATGGACAGTGTTAATAACAAAAGCTGAATCCTTTCTCATCTCTGTTTAAAATATGTCCTGTTTTAGATCTCCTCACTGAAGAATTGTGCCTGTTTCATTAGCATCTCTAATAAAATATTAGTTTTCTGCTGAGTTCTCTCAATGCTCCCATCTTATTTCTGATTACCTGTCTAATCAAAAGGATAGCCTTAAATTATTAAGTAATGAATATTTTAGTTTTCACTCAGCCGTGGATGCATAAATTATTGCTCTTTAGCATGAGAAAAATACCACAGGACATGTACTGTATAACCTGTTTTCCGTAAGTTACAGTATTTTAGTGGTAGAGAATAGTAGTTTTGAAACTGTTTACGCATGTGTATTGTGAAGTATTTGCATTGAGAGGGTAAATACCATTTCCCTGTAGTGATTAGATTTTTAATGTCAGTTTTGCATAAAGTGTGTAGTATGTGTCATCCCCTTTCTGTGTACCTCTTTAATGAGCTTGTGCATACTTTACTGCCCATTCCCGATTACTTATTGATGGGTTTTTCTGTGCAGAATTGAAAAACAATTAACTTCACAACAGCGTTCTGTAGTACTAAACAGAAATTGCTTAGATTCTTTTTGCTATTGATTTCTGCCTTAGCTAGTATTGATACCATCACCTTGATGTTATTTATTTATGTACCGTGTACTTCAGTGCCACACAGAATGAGATGGTAACTTCCTAATGAACAGCTGGAAAATTGCTGTCACAGTCTCACCTTGCCAAGCATGCTACAGTAGCATCTTTCATGCACTCTGCAGTTAGAGAACAGAGGAGCCTGCTTATTTAACCCTGCTTTACAAATGTTTTCAATATTTTTCAAGCCGAAGGTTCCTCAATTGGCATTTTATAGTTGTCCAGTGGTAAAGAGTTTGCAAGGTCTGAAATGATAAGGAAAGGGGTCAGAATTCCAATTATAAAAGATTCTTTGTCACTGTCTTCAACTGATGTACCTCCGAAAAGGATATGCCCAGGATGTGGTTTTCAGTTTTAAGACTTCCACTTCTTTTTCTTATCGTGTTGCTTTCTATTTTCCAATTAATTTTGAAGTGCAAATCTAAAAATAAAGGTATTAGAAAATCATTTTAATGTCAAGGATTGCAGTTCACCCTCCAATGGGGGGAAAAAAAGATCTTCACTGGGGAAACCTGCTGCATCCTAATTGGGTCACTAATGAATAGGAGAAAAAAAAGAGTTCAAGCAACTCGGGAGCATGAATCCTGTGGAAGCCTTACACTAGTTCAAGGGTTGTGAGGGGTGGGCTGGACCACAACTGTTTTTTGGTCATTTGGGTCTAGTTGTTTTTTGTAATGGTAAGATCTACCGAAGTGTACTATACCAGCATACTGTGTTGCATGTTCCTTCACCCTTATTGTATTTCTTGTCATAATTCTCAAGACGCAGTAGAGGATGCTACTGTAGTTGCCCCCAAAGGGCTGTGATAGTCTCCACAGACTCTAAATTATCTTGGGGAATGACAGGCTTCCTCACCACAGAGCTATG